TTTTTTTTTGTAAGTTGTTAAGAGTTTGTAACTCATCAGTGAGGAATGTATGTTCTAAATTGTAATATAGTTGAAGCAAGATATTTTTTAAAATCTAAATAAGATATAAAATATTAGGCAACCATTAGTAAAGTAATTAAGGGGTTGTTTGGCAGCATCTGAATTTTTAAGATCTGAATTTTTAAGAGATCTGAATTTCTAAGAGGGTCTGAAACTTTAAGTTCTGAATTTTTAACATGTTGTTTGGTTGGAACATCTGAATTGATGTACTGAATTATAAAAATAACCATTTTACCCTTCACTATTATTTTTTGTTGAATTCAATGTTTATGTTTATAAAATAACCAAACCAACTTCTTGAATAATTATAAAAGAAAGTATAAACACAATGCAAAATTCAAATTAAAAAAAAAAAATTAAATCAAACACTGCTCTAATATAAAGAGGTAAAAGTATAATGCTATAATAAATAAATCAATAAAAATACATTACTGTTTTTTGTATTTAACCCTTACAAAAACAATTTTACAATAGCTATGAAAACAACCTAAACTCTATGCTTATATGGATCACATTACATACATACAACCCAATTCATACATATATAATCTTATATATATTTTCAGAAGAAAATCCTCACAATTTGAAGCTTAATGATTTTTCCACATTGTTCCACAGTGAGAATTTTCTGCAGAGGAATGAGAAATTAACATCTTCATCATACAAAAGCAAAAATGGATACAAGAAACATCAGATGCCAAAGTTCCAATTGCTCAAGGTCAAACATCAATGCCTAAACTCTAAAGTTCCAATTGCTCAAATGAGAGACAAAAAGGAACAATTTGGACAAAAAAAAAGTTCACAACCTTCATCCACAGTCATCTTAACCATCAAAAATCACACAATACTCTAAATCCATAACCAATTTGGAAACTGTAGATCAGATTATGATAATAACAACTATGATTATTCCATGAAACTAGAAATCAATAACTAATTTGGAATGAAACTACAGATTCAAAACATCACAACATCATAGAAAAACCAAAACATGAACATTTAAAAACTCAGAATATTAAATCAATTTTTGATTTCACATCATGAAAAAATTCGATTTCACAAATGAGTAGTGATTTTAGCAACTTCATACGTGACCAACAAAGGAGATTGGAGACCGGTGTTGGCGATGGCGGCGCTTTCGAGGGCGGAACTGGCGATGTCCGAGCTGGGCGTCGGAGGTCGTAGTTCGGTGGTGGGACTCAATTTCATGGAGGTGGGAGTGATATCAGAAGTTGTGTGAAACGTATGGGTGTACGAGGTCGATGATGGGGCGGCGGTGTTGTGCGAGTCGACAATGGGAGGAGGTGGCCGGCGATAGGATGAGGTGTTCGGTGATGAGAGGAGGTGATTGGCGTTGGAGTCGGTGGGAGGTAGGAGGAGATAGGAGAGAAGATCTAGTGAAGGTGGGATATGGAAGCGTTCATATGAGGGAAATAGAGGGAAGGGCGTGTATTTTTTTTTATTCAGATATGATTTCAAGTCTGAAAGTTTAAGAGGATTTTAAGAAATTAAGAGCCTTTTATTCAAAGGCTAACAAACGCTCTACATCTGAAATAATAAGAGGCTGCCTCTTAATTTCTTAATTAAGAGGCTACCAAACAACCCCTAAGAAAACGAAAAATGAGAAATATAAATCTATATGATTAATTAATATGTAAATCAAAATGGTATTATTACAATAAATAAATAAATAAATAAATAAATAAAAATATAAAAAAAATTGTTTGGAAAGGATAAATACGGTAAAAAAATTAATTCCCACCACCAACCACCACCACCTACCACCGCCACAACCAGCACCACATGTCACCGCTACCACCATCGCCACCACCACCGCTACCACCATCGCCACCACCACTATTACCGCTACCGCTACCGCTATCGCCACCACCACAACTACCGTCTCCACCACCACCACTGCCATAACTACCGCCACCACCACCTCCACCACCATCGCCACCACCACCACCTACCGCCATCACCATAACTACCGTCTCCACCACCACCACTGCCATAACTACCGCTACCACCACCTACAACCACCACCACCAACCGTCACCACCTACAACCACCGTCACCACCACTACTACATGGGTATTAACAAACACTACAATCACCTGCCGTCACTACCACCACCCACCGCCACTACATGTCACCGCTACCACCATCGTCACCACCACTACTACCACCATCGCCACCACCACCGCCGCTACCACAACTACAGTCTCCACCACAAACCACCACCACCACCACCACAACTTACCACCTCCACCACCACCTACCACCGCCATCGCAACCACCTACCTCCACCACAAACACCAACCATTACTACCACCAACACCACCTGCAACCACCACCTACCATCGCCGCTACCACCCCACCCGTTACCTGCCACCACCAACTATTGGATTACTAAAGATAATGAAGATATCCACTGAAAGCTAATGACCTGTGACTTTAAGGCATATGAGATTATGACCTACAACTTAAGGCTAATGACTTATTATTTATTGGTCATTTGGGATTGTGCCTTTATGCTTATTTTACATTTGGTTAAAAGGATTTTATTATTTTTACAAATAGTTTTTTGTATTTATGATAATTAACAAACACCACTACATAAGGCCAAAAGGGAGTTATGGATATATGGGTATTAACAAACACCACAATCACCTGCCGTCACTGCCACCACCCACCGCCACAAGTTGTCACCGCTACCACCATCGCCACCACCATCGTTACCACTACCGCCGCCACCACAACTACAGTCTCCACCACTAACCACTACCACCACCACCACCACCTACCACCTCCACCACCACAAACACCAACCATTACTACCACCACCACCACCTGCAACCACCACCTACCATTGCCACCACCACGTACCACTTCCATCGCAACCACCTACCTCCACCACAAACACCAACCATTACTACCACCAACACCACATGCAACCACCACCTACCATCGCTGCCACCACCATCACTACCACCCCACCCGTCACCTGCCACCACCAACTATTGGATTACTAAAGATAATGAAGATATCCACTGAAAACTAATGACCTGCGACTTTAGGGCATATGAGATTATGACCTACAACATAAGGCTAATGTCTTATTATTTATCGGTCATTTGGGATTGTGCCTTTATGCTTATTTTACATTTGGTTAAAAGGATTTTATTATTTTTACAAATAGTTTTTGTATTTATGATTATTAACAAACACCACTACATAAGGCCAAAGGGGAGTTATGGATATATGGGTATTAACAAACACCACAATCACCTGCCGTCACTGCCACCACGCACTGCCACCACTTGTCACCGCTACCACCATCGCCACCACCATCATTACCACTACTGCCACCACCACAACTACAGTCTCCACCACCAACCACTACCACTACCACCTCCACTACCACCTACTACTGCCATCACTACCACCTACCTCCACCACCACCACCATAAACACCAACCATTACTACCACCACCTACCGTCGCCACCACCACCTACCACTGTCATCGCCACCACCTACCTTCACCACCACCACCACAAACACCAACCATTACTACCACCACCACCACCTGCAACCACCACCTACCATCGCCACCACCACCGCCACTACCACCCCTACCCGTCACCTGCCACCACCATCGTTACCACTACCGCCGCCACCACAATTACAGTCTCCACTACCAACCACCACCACCTACCACATCCACCACCACCTACCAATGTTGTCGCCACCGCCTACCTCCACCACCACAAACACCAACCATTACCACCACCACCTGCAACCACCACCTACCATCACCACCGCCACTACCACCCCCACCCATCACCTGCCACCGCCACCTATTAGATTACTACAGATAATCAACATATCCACTAACCTACAACTTACGACTAAAGACTTATTATTTTGTCGGCCATTTGGGATTATGGCTTTACGCTTATACTTTTGCAAAAACCGAAATTTTTCGATACGGTGCAGTTTTTATATATTCATGAACCGCAAAAACCGAATCGAACCTTACTATTATATTATATATTAAATAAATTATATATTTATATTTTATATATAATAATAACTATATATACTTAGACTAATTAAATAATGAATATAATATTTATCTTTAGCAAAAAAATTAACAAAAAGAAAAAATAGTTAATATTTTTCATTTAATTTGTCAAAAAAATGTTGCCAACACAATATGCACGTAAAGTTTGAGATGTTCTTCACATTTTACAAGGACCAAAATGTAATTTTTATTTAATTTGCTAAATGCCAATGTTGATACAGCGTCAAATTGTTTGAGGAGGATATGATGAAATCTTGGACCAATTACAAACTAATATCAATACGCTTTTTTGCCTCCAAAATCGTTTTAGGGTTTAGAAAGGATCACAAGAAAATTTCAAAAATGTGTTTACTCTCGAAAATCAAGGCGGGAAGTCTTCATCTATCTCACCGCCAAAACCATAAACCATATCAAATCGATTTGAGAAAGGTAAGGTCGAGATATTAGGTATCATCCTTGAAATTAGAAACATATTAATTTCATCTCTATAAAGAGGATTGATTTATTCAATAATTTTTATCGTCTTCTTCATTGTGAAAGAAAATTAGCTGTACTACAGGTGTTCTTCTACCTAAATCGTTCTTTATTCAGTTGTAAGTCTCTATGAATGTTACCATTAAGTTTGTCTTTCAGTTGATTAAAATGTTACTGGTAGTATATTGTTCCAAATGATGCCATAACAAAAAATAATTTTTTTGAACACCAAGTGTGTTTATTGCACACCAACTGTTCGATGAAAAGCCTAAATCAATCATTTATGGTAAATATTATTGTATGGTATCATATTATTTAATGAAATACTAATCTGGTTACACTAACTTATATGTTATTTTTCATGTTTAATTAAGTATTATGGAAGGAGAAAACACATTGATTGAAGATGTGCCTATATTGGAAATGGAGGATGATGACCAAAATGATGGATCTGATCTAGATGATTCAGAACATGAAGACACATCGGATTACACTTCCGGCGATTCCAATAGCAATACAGAGACTACAAAGAAAACAAGGAAGAGGGGATTGATTCGATTGCCAAAGTTACAGACCGAACATACAAATTATGGTGGAAGAAAAAAACGTGTAAAGTTTGATGAATTTGGAAGGTTTGCAGGGAAGTATAGATCACAGTTACCTAGTTATCTGGGAGACTTAGTACGGGAAAGGGTAGGAGTTAGTGTTTTCAATTGGAAGAAGGTAACAAAAGAAGTCAAAGAAAAACTATGGGAAGAGATAACGGTAAATAATGTTTTTTATATGCAACTCATATGTTATTGGTATTCTCCAATGCAATTTCATTCAATAACTAATATACTAGCTACTTGTATTCAACGTTTTTATGAAATTGAGGATAGTCGAAGAAAATATATAATGAATCGGCTTGGTATGCTTCTACGGAATTTTAGAAGAAAATTGTATGAAAAGTACATAGAGCCCAACTTAGGGAATACCGCCAAGCTTAAAAGAATTCCTAAACGATACCGTACAATAATTCTTAGCCAAGATCACTGGGACAAGTTCGTTGAACACACACAGTCAGACAAATTCAAGGTTAAATTCATTTTTTATATTCATTATCACTTTTAATTTATATTTTATTAAGGTAAAAAATACTTATAAGATCTGTGAATTTTTTTTTTGAAGGATACGTCGAGAAAGGCGATAGTAGCGCGTTCGAAGTCAAATTATAATCACCGGATGGGACGAGGAGGATATACGGCTCTAAGAGAGAAACTGGTAAGTTCTATCTTTGATTGGATTGTGTATTTTTATATGTGTTTGTTTTTAGGGAAGCTCTGAAAGTATAAAAAAAGATGTAAAAGAGTTATCAAATGGTAAAATTGGAATTGAGTTATTAAAAATAGAGGATACATGTGGTTTGTTAGAAATTTGAAGAAGTTTATAATACATTATATATAATGTTTTATACATAAAATTAAACATTTGATTTTAATTTGCAAATATTCATATAGACTGATATAAACGTGAGTTTCGTTTTGTTTGATATGGGCTTTTATGTTAATCCATTTAAAGTATATAACAATTGGAAAATATTTTTTATAGGCATATGTACAGGCTTAATTGTCATGTGCACAATTGTTATGTATCCGGTCTTTTGCAAACATGTTCAAAACTGCCGACACTAACCACCTGGAAAAAATGTCATTTTTTAAATCAGGTGGTCCAAGAAGGCCAACATTTACCAACAAATTAATGGATCATTTTTTTTATAATTTTATTTTCTTTTATTTCCCCGAAAATTATCAAGATTATTCTTGGAAGAGTCCATCCCTCTGGAAATAATGAGGTTATGAAATCAAAGGTGCTTTTTATTCCATTCATTATGTATTTATTGAGTATTTGTTACGATAGATCTCGCAAAGTCCATTAATTGCAAATTAATTTTTTATTTAAAATATAGGTTTGCTTATGATAATGCTTGTAGTAAGATTAATAGAATGTATTTTTTTTTTTTTTTTACTTTATTTGCTTCTTTTGGTTCATGTTGATAGTATTTTTGCATTTTGTTGTATATGATTACTAGGTTAATAATAAAGTACTTGCCAAAGACGAAATACCCCCCCCCCCCCATCATTAATGTGGTGTAAAGGACGTGAAAACAAAGCAGGCGAATTGGAAGATGCTAATGTTAAAGTCATGGCAGAAAAACTAGTAAGTTCATTAAAACTTTCTCCTTTATTGTTTTATTACTATAATAAATACTAGACTTGTTAAATAACTATTGAAGACATTATTTTGATATATTTTTGTGTATAGATGGAACATGAAAAACAAATCAAAGATGGAGATGTGAAGCTTGATCCTGGGATGGATGCCATGACACTAGTCTTTGGCAAGGAAAATGGTGGATTCTTAGAAGGGGTTGGCACAGGAGTGACTGCTAACAGATATTTCCACATTCCTAGAACCAAAGGATCTTCAAAAGAACAAATTGCGGACCTAAAGTTTGAACTATAGAATGAAAGACTTGAGCTGTAGAAAAAAGATGAAGAACTTAAGGCGTTGTCAACAAAGGTGAGAGAACAAGATAATACACAAAAGTTAGTTTTAGCTCATCTTGAATCACAAGGAACAATGATACCTAATCTACCATCTCATCCGAATCAATCTCCAACAGAAGTTAGTTGTTACTGTTTCTGCAAAATGCATTTATTATATAAATTGATCATTTTCCTTAAATTTTGTAGGTATTTTCAGTGGACAAGAACAGTGAATCTCATGCCACTCATGTTACTAATACTATCATAGAAAAAACACCTATCATAAATAAAGCATCGACAAATGAAACAGTTACACGAGTAAGTAATTAATTGACAAATTCATTGATTTTAATACTTTTTTGCAGTATTTTCTGATTTTAATATAATATTGAATTATTGTTTTCTAGGTAATGGCAAAAGCCACCAAAATAATTGTTGAATCTAAAGAGTGCGACTACAAATTCACATCCAAAAACAAAAGATACTCATTCACCAAAACTATCACAGGTATGTATTTGTATTTTGACATGAAAATATAAATTTTTGTTTATTGTTTTTTTTTATCTAAATATGTGCAATCATTGTAGACAATGAAGTGCATTCTACAATATCCAAATAATAGAAGTAATGTTGTTTTTGGTACCGTTTACATATCTTCGAAAAGACAAACGATTCATGGAGTTCCACCTCAAGACAATTGCTATGAAGTTTCAATTGATGAAGTGATAAAGGGAGCTGCATTTTTACCATATCCAAACGGTGATATCAAATTAGTTGAGGATGCACATAAAACTTTTGTTGCATGGCCAAAATACCTTGTCAAATGTGACGAAAAGGTTTATTTCTTCTATTAACTTCTTTATGCATTATTTTTTTTCCTTTTTAAATTAGTCTTTTAAATTAATAGTTGTTCAAATTTCTTTCAATGTTTTTTCAGGTACCACGAATGGGATCAACTCAAGATGATGAACATAAAAGCTCAAAGAAACAAAGAAAAAGTTTAACTCAAGATGATGAACATAAAAGCTCCAAGAAGCAAAAAAAAAATTATAACGAGAGATAGCATTGGCAAGCATACAAGGAGCACTTTCAACAAGACTAAAGAAATCTAGTTTTTGGTTAATTATGACTGTTTATTCCTTTCTTTAACATTTTTAATAAACTTGTTTTGATTACAAGGATTTTTACTATTTAACTAGTGAAATTATGAATGGAAACTTTTATTTGATTATTATTAATATTGATATTTTCTTGTCGTTTCATATTGTCCATTTACGGTTATGTTTATTTAACATTGTTTTTTTATTCCATGTGTCTAATAATTTTATCGTTATGTTTTATTTTGTTGTCACTAAAATGTATATAATGGTTACTTCACAACAAATGTGTCGTGTGACTAAAGGGCTAACAATAGTCATGATAGAAACTCAATATGCATCTGCAAGTGTTTTACAGTCATTTTTTATTAAACATGTGTGACTAGAAGTAAAACAAATACAATGTTGAAAATTTATGTGTCGGAAAAGATACATATGTCACTTTATTTAATAATCATATGACTAATAGTTTATGTATTGTTATATTTAAACAATACTTGTGAGTCAAAATCTTAAAAAAAACGACATGATAAGATAAAACTAATGTGACAATAGGGTAAATATAGTCATGGTAAATGAAATTGTGTGTCGATACAACACTAATGGTTACAATTGCAATGGTTTGCGATATCTAAATTATGAGCAATAGCCAAATTGAAAACTATAGGTGTGTCTAAAGGATAAAAATGTTATGGTTATCAAAATTTTGTGTGACTAAATACTAAACAATAAGGACGATAAACATTAGTTATGTGTCTACAATGATTTTATAGTCATGTTTTAATTTAATATACGTGACAAAAAACTAAATAATATTATTAATGTAGATAATTGTGTGTCAAAATCATAACATTTGTCACTTATTTCTAACTTCATGTGACTGTATGTTCGACAATAGTGACAGTTGTAAAAACATTATATAACTATACGACATTTACAACTATGGTTGAAGTATGTATGTGTGACTACTATAAAAACAACAGTAACAATCTGGAATTTTTTAATGTCTAAATGATAAAATCGATCACACTTAAAACAAATTGTTATGTTCATAAGGTGAATATTGGCCACTATTATATATACTTTTGTTTCTATAAATCAATTACAGTTATGTTTAATTGATTTCCTATGTCGAAAAGATATAAAATAGCCACACTTACTACGTTTTATGTGTTTGAATGATAGCAACAGTCATGATAAATTATACGTATGTGACTGTAAGTTATAAGATAATCATAGTAAAAAATATAGTATGTGTCTTTAAAATACTTTTGGTCATTAAAATCATAAATTCATGTGACCATTTCGGGAACATGGTGATGAGTTGCTTAATTATGTGTGTCTAAAAGATTGTTAATAGTCATACCAAATAATTTTTTGTGTGATAATTTATTAGCAAAACATAATAGTGATAATAAATTCATGTGGCCATTTGATGAACATGGTCATGCTATGCTTAATTTTGTGTCTCTAAACAATAGTCTATAGTCATAATGAAATTGTTTTTGTGTGACCAATTAATAGCAATATGCCACACTAAAAATAGTTTCACGTAACCATTACATGAAAGATAGTCACTAAAATAAAAAGAATGTGTGTCTAAAAAGTGTTTACGACCACAATATTAGATAAAATGATATTGTACAACAACAAAAATCTCTACCCTATAGCCAAACTTTCATGCTATGGTCACAGGTTTTCATATGTTACAGCCACTAAATTTAAAAGTGGTTGTATGGTGCCTAAAATGGCACGACCTTCGGTGACACTTCCGATGAAAAAAAGGAGTGACTATAGGCATATGGTCACAGTTTTTTAGTGTAACCATAGCCCATTTTTGTACTAGTGGAGTTGGAAGAACAACTCGGCGAGTCTATTGAAGATTGTCGTGAATTCGGCGAGTCTGTTCTTGGACTCGGCGAGTCTGCTCACAGAACCTAACCTCTTTCAGTTAAAGCCTTGGATTAGTGATTCGGTTGGGGACTCAGTGATTTGGTTAGGATGAAGCTTAGAGATCGTGGACTTGATGAGTCTTGGGGCGACTCGGCAAGTTAAGTCATGCTATGAGAGTTTTCTGAATATGAGAACTTCGCGAGTCGGTGGGCTGACTCAGCGAGTAGAGTCAATCAGGAAGGTTGACTTTCATTGAGGACTTTGACTTTGACCTTCAGGGGTATTATGGTAAATTGGATATTTATGTCAATGGTTATTGATGGATATAGGTGTTGGAGTTTGAGGTGGTGCTTCGGGATTATGCTCTTGTGATTCGGTTCGGCAGTTGCGATGTGAGTTATCCTCACTATATCGATAGGGTCTACGGCACCAACACCGGCCCTTTATCAGATGGAAATCTGGGTATTGTTTGTTATGTTATTGCCTTGCTAGATCTACATCCTGGTATTCAGGATGGTGTTTTGGTAGTGACATGGTTAAGGTCGGTACCCGGTATATAGGGTAATGTTATGCTAGTGACCGGTTAGGTCGGAATCCTGGTTAGGATGTTGATATGCTATATGATCTGTTAGACTGTTTGTCTGGTTAAGGCTTTGTTATGTGATTAATTGTTTATGTGCACATGGTTGTTTGACGGGGGTTGGGTTGAGGTGGGTCCTTATTTGTGCTGTAGGCCAACATACCCAGGGCGGACTGGATATTTCGAAGGCCCAACGAGCGGTCCGGATAGGCTGAAGGCTCCAAGAGGGCGGACCAGACGTGCCGAGGCTCGGAGAGTGGACTAGGTGGACTGAAGGCCCGGTGCGGGCGGACCAGACACACAGTGGACCCGATGTACATGGTTGTTCTATTTGTGCTATGTTATGAGTATGTTTTTGTGTGGTTGGTATTTTAAGGGTAACTCACTAAGCTTTCGGGCTTACGGTTCAGTGTTTTGTTTCAGGTACTTCAGGAGATCGTGGCAAGGCGAAGGCGTGATCGTACCGCTCCTCATGTTTTATGATTGATGTGATATGGTTCTGGGGAACACTTTGATGTTTAAACTATTTTGAAAACAAGATGTATGAACTTAATGGTTTTTGAATGAATTAAAATGTTTTAATTTGGCTCGAATTTTATGGTCGTTACAAGTTGGTATCAGATCCTTGGTTTGAGTGAATTGGAGGAACATTCGTGTGAATCCAATCTCAAATCAAGGAGGGTTTTTCAAAATGGTTTTCAAAAGGTTTTTTGAAATAAGTAAAGGAGGATGCAGAGGGTACGATCAGCCAGAGCCAATAAGTAGACCCCAAAATACCATACGATTTATTTGATTATGTGATATGTGAGAACAACATGCTAGTACTAAGCTAGGGATCTTCAGGAACTACATGATAGAATTGCCTGATTATATGATGCCTGCTAGCCTAGGGTTTCCTTTGTATGAAATTGACATCATTACTATAGTTATTTAGTGTATGCATCATGGTTATAAATAATTAAGATCTTATAGCCTGAGAATGTTTGATTTGGCCTTATGTTCTGTTCTTGTATGTTTGGGAGCTTAGGGTAGGATTGGATATTCGAAAGTCTATAGGGTCCAACGTTATGTATGACTAGCATACACTAGTGCTGCAGGGTTGGTGGAAGTTTCATGGATGGGAAAGTTGCGTGAGACCGGTAGGTAGGTTATGGGATAGTGGTGCTCCTTTAAGAGTGGGGATCGAGTGTTCGTTATGTGTATGCTATTATTAGGTTGTTGTGGTGATACTTGATACACATATGGGTAGGTGTGGAAGGTAGTATGGGCTCGTACAACTGAAAGCACAGGACCCATACGCGTATCAAGGAAGTCACAACCCCTAGGCTTTTGTTGGGAGCTAGTTCTCGGGGTTATTATGAGGAATGCCTAATATATTGTGGTGTATTTTCTGTATGGAGATTACGAGACGTATTGGGGCAGGATCCGGTTCGGGATCGGGATCAGGAGAGGGTGATCAGGATGGATCAGTACCACCCGGGGTCATTGGTCAAATGTGTACGGATGAGTTGGATGCCAGGATTCATAAGGTCCTGCATGATGAGGTTGCAACTATGTATCGGGCTGAGTTGTCGGAGATGTTTGGGTTGATCAAGACCGCCATGGTTGAGTACCTTGATGAGCGTTATGCAGCTCTTACGGAGGCGACTGCCGCGGCAACTATAATGACTGTAACAGCGGCAGGGGGAGGAACCGGTCGAGGTTTTCAGTATTGGGACTTTGATAATACGAAGTCCCCAACTTTCGCTGGAGTTCAGGATCTGATTGTTGCTGTGAGACGATTGTCAGACGTGGAGGGCTGTTTCTTCACGTGTTCATGCCCTGCGAATCAGAGGGTGAGGTGTGCTCTGAACCTTATTCTGATGCACATCGGGCTACAGAAGGAGTGGTGGAGGTTGACTACGGGATCTTATTCTGATGCACATCGGGCTACAGTTACTTGGGATCAGTTCCAGGAGATGTTCAGTACTTGTTATGTTCCACGAGTTGAGAGACAGAGAGAGAGGTTGGCTAAGGAGTTCCTGGAGCTGAAGCAGGTTTCAGAGTCAGTGACGGAGATCACCAGGATGTTCATTGAGAGGGTGATGTTTTGCCCAAAATTTGCTTCGGAGCAGGCTCAGATGTCCCGATATCTAAGTATGCTCAAGAGGGGCATCATGTAGTTTTTATCCACGCAGAGATGTGATACCTTGGTAGAGCTGCAGGAGGCCGCCAGGCGGTGGGAGTTACAGATGGAGTTGCATTTACGAGAGCAGAGGCAGTCCCCGGTGTAGTCGCAGCCGGCACCAAACCTTTCTAAAACCGTTGACTCTAGAGTTGGAGGTCAGAGCAGCCGCACCTGTGAGAAGTGCAGGAAGGGTTTTGTTTCAGGTACTTCAGGAGATCGTGGCAAGCTGAAGGCGTGATCGTACCGCTCCTCATGTTTTATGATTTATATGATATGGTTCTGGGGAATACTCTGATGTTTAAACTATTTTGAAAACATGATGTATG